GGTTTACCTTCTTTCTTGGCATGGTGCAGAGCCTTGTTGCGAGATATATGTTCTTCCTGTAGCCGTACTCTTGATTCAGGGTCGCATTACCTACTCAAGGCAATTAATGTCGGTCTGCGTGTTGAATCAGGGACCCTCGCCAACAAATTCGGGATTTTCGTTTCTTATCAGAAAGATAAGAGTGAAATTTCCGTGCTGCTCATTAGGTTCATCCAATTCTTTCCACTTCCTCTACACTGTTACCTAAACGCTCTGAAATGTTCGTATTAGAGTTTCCGGCGCGAAATTTTGACAGAAATGAATTGAAAGGTCAATGCGGCCGAAACGCTGTGACAAATCGCGCGACATATGAGGATACCTAGAACAATCCACGAATGCTTGAAAATTTAACATTTCTGGAATTTAACGAGCAAGAAGTGAATGAATAGCAACTCTAAAGCTTTCTGCTAGAAAAGTCGACTCGTTTTGTCATACTGGACAGTTTTTTTTTTCTGATGCGCGCTGTACGTTTTACGACTTATTTGTTCTGACGACTGCAAACGTTATAGATTTAGCATCATTTCTCATTTCTATTTTCTTTTTATTTTCTTATCTCTTCGTTTATTTAGCCTAGCGCCGAAGTAATGGGTTCCCGCAGTATAAATATTGCTACCCGACAATGGTGAGTATGTCCATCGCCGAAGTGGTCAGGAGTCGTGAGTGATACAAGAAACGACTGGGTCCGCCTCCGTAAACCTCTTGACAAGCTTCAATCCGTTGGCAACGGCGAAAAAAGGCTATTGTCAACGAATAAGGAGGAGATTGTTCGCAATGAAAGGCTTGAAATTAAGACCAGCCAACTGAAATAACATCTTAGTTTCAAAGTAACAAATATCTCGTCAGACTATCTGACCACTGACAGTCCTGTCACCAATATGTGTTCAATTTCATAGTTGATCTCCATCTGAATTGTCCAAATAGATATCCACTTATCTTTTTTACACGCACATGTGCGTTCGGACACACTTTAACATAAACACACCGACATATATGTGTGTGTTTGTTTGTGTGTGTGCGTGTATGTGTTTGTGTGAGTGTGGGTGTAAATACATATATTCATGTGCATGCACACAGACACACAGATATATATATATATATATACATATATATACATATATAGACGCACATATTTATATATATATATATATGTGTGTGTGTGTTTGTGTGTGTGTGTGTGTGTGTGTCTGTGCGTGTATGTGTGTGTGAACATTGTCTTTTGCTTATTGCTGATCGTTTTTACACATCCCTATAAGAAGTTACCACATGGACACAAAAAACGATAGACAATTCACACACACACGTATATATATATATATATATATATATATATATATATATATATATATATGTGTGTGTCTGTATGTCTGTGTGTGTTGATCTTTTTTACATCCTTATAAGAATACATCACATATACACAAAAACAGAGAAATCAGACACACAAACACAGACAGACGTATATATATATATATATATATATATATATATATATATATATATATATATACATACACACATATATATATATATATATATATATACATATCTATATATATATGTGTGTGTGTACGTGAGTGTATGTGCGTGTAAATAGTGTATCTGCTTTTTGCCCATCTGATGTCTTCTTATGGGAATGTGTAAAAAAGATCAACAATATTCAATAGACAATATTTATGGGAACCATCTTTCATAAAAGACTGGAACGCATGTTATCGTCATAAGAAGTCATACATCAAACCGTTCATCGGCATGAAAACCCATTTAGATGGATGGTGGATTTGTTTCTAACCCTTATCTATCTATCTATCTATCTATCTATCTATCCCAGTTTGTGCTGATATATTTATCTATCCATCCCAGTCTGTGCTTGCTTATCTATCTATCTATCTATCTATCTATCTATCTATCGCTCGATTGATCTCTTGTACATATCTCTTCATTGGATTCTCTCCTGTTTTTCTATCCCGGTTTGTTTATATTTCTGTCTTTCCGTCTGGCTACCCTCTCTCTCCCTCTTTCTTCTATCTATCTATCTACCTACCTACCTACCTACCTCTGCCGCCACACCCACGGAAAGGTTTCGGACGAACTACTTTCCCTGGTCCCGCCAAGTCAGAGTTTTACAGATCCTACACGCATGCCACAAATCTGTCACTGTGTGGTATGCCACTAGCGTTTTCCGCTGGTGGTCCGCTGTCGCATCCTCGGCGTATTCTTCTCGGCAATGTTACCATTAGCGGAACGGTAGAGGCCGCCAGAGGTCAACGGACTACTATCGGCTTGCGTGGAGGCGCAAGGACATGCCATGCCACCTACATAGTAGCAAACCACCCTCATTCCCCCCATGTTCCACGCGAGCAGCAGCTTCTCGGGAACTACTGCCTGTGGAACCGACTCCCAACTGGATGTTTCCCTGGCCAATACAATGTAACCTGTTCAAGTCTCGGGTTAACCGTTATCTTCCGCTCCTATACACACAAATGGCCTCCTAATGTAATCCTCGGCCTCGAGTACATCAGACTTACACATTCAAAAAGAAATCTGAAAATATAACTCCGGGTATAAAAAACAATTATAAGAGATATATTTTCCGATTCCTTTTTGAATTTGTAGGTCTGATAAATTGTATCGTGATTACGATTCCAATGTAATAAATTATAATCATGGAATATTCGTGTTTGAGCCTTTTATATTATATTCTTACTCTGTCCTGGACAATGAGATCTACCTGGATTCTATCCTATTGGAAAGATATATATATTTGAATAAAAGATATATATATTTGAATAAAAGACAGACCACGTTAAGATTCCATGTAATAAGCTATTTCACCATAACCCCTTTAACAGGGTTCTGGATCATCAGACTTTACTTCCAAAAGCTGAAATGAAAAATGAAAAGAAATTCACACGTTTTTTACGGACCTCATCAAGTATACGCAAAGTTAACGAAGTGAGGAAGTGAGGTGGGAGAGAGGATATGAGTGTGTCATATGTATCATTTTAGTTTCTTATTTTAACCCCAGTGTGTCGGCTGGATGTTGCTCAAATTTAACGCGTCTCGTCTCTAGATAAAGGTGGCTAAGGGGTGAACGATAAGAACTACATTAAAGGAAGACGTTACAACAGCCCCAATAAATTACACGACAGGTTTCATTCAAATTCTTAGACGCTGTCAGTTCGCGTTACTTTAACGTGCATATTTGGGAGGTTAAGATTTGATAAATATCTAAATTTTAAAACAATATACGAAGGAATTTGAATTGAGCTCTCTGGATATCATCCTCCTCAGATCTACCCATACGGATTACCTAAATTTTGCATAAACTAACTATATATATATATATATATATATATATATATATATATGTATTTGAAGTTTATATCAATCCTTCATGAGCAAAATCAACATTTTGCAACTTAATTCAAAGAAGAAATGACTTTTTAGACAGTAAGGAGTTTTGGAGATAATTATTTAGTAATACAAGTCGTTTTGATTAACCCATAGCCAGAAAGAGGAGAGATCGTTTTGTAAAGGTTATTTATGTATGAGTGACTATAACGAACCTGACAGGAATTGGAACACGGCTCTCTGCTGCAGTCATCCATTATACCACTCGGACAGCTTAAGCACTAGCATTCTCAACCGAACCCATCTAGGCGCTGAGCAGGCGAGACGTTGCTTAACTTCGGGTGATCGTTCGAGGGTGTTTCAACGTGAAGTCCCATCCCACTCGCAGAGTCTGGTACTCCCAACCGGTCACCCTGAAACCGACCAGGCGTGATGTTGCTTAACTTCGGTGAACGTTCGAGAACTGGTGTTTCAAAGTGAATCTCAATCTCACATCCAAGCTTACAGCACCTGGTACTCCCAAGCGGTCACCCGTCTAGGCACTGACCAGGCGAGACGTTGCTTAATTTCGGCGTTTCAACGAGATTTGGCTGTAAGTTCTGTATACCACTCGCACATCTAAGCTTACAGAACCTGTTATTCCAAACGGTCACCCATCTATACACTGAGCAGGTGATACGTTGCTTAACTTCGGTGAACGTTTGAGAACCTGTGTTTCAACCTGACTGGACCGTAAGGTCATTATACCACTCGCACATCCAAGCTTACAGAACCTGTTATTCCAAACGGTCACCCATCTATGAACTGAGCAGGCGAGACGTTGCTTAACTTCGGTGAACGCTTCAGAACCGGTGTTTCAACCTGACTGGACCGTGAGGTCTGTATACCACTCGCGAATCCAAGCTTACAACACCTGGAATTCTTAAACGGTCACACAAGGTTAGCTCAGCCAGGCTCGTGGTCGCTTAATCTTGGTGATCGTATAAGAACTGTTGTTTAGATTTGATATGGTCGTAAACCAATAAGGGAGGAGCATCTAGAATTACTGAAAGCAAGAGAAACACTGAGAAACAGCGCTGAAAATGTGGGATAAGAAGGACAATGAAAGCTAGCAGTCACTTAGAGCAACAAAGGCCAGGAAGTTGTGGAGAGTCATGTTCACACACGCCTGAAAATACAAGGTACTTAAAAACAAAAGAAGTTTATCTTTATGAATTTTTTATTTGTACAAATTCAGGTGCATCTTGATAATTGGTGCCTTATAAGGGATTGTGCGGTTGGAGTAAAGAGTCGCGATGGAAGAAGAAATAGGAGTGCAGAGTTCGAATTATAACCGAATTCGTTACATTCACTTAAGCGTAAATACTTTTGGGAAAGGTATGAACCAATTGCGTCTCTCCCAGCTATGGGTTAAATAGAAGTCAGACTAGGCTCTTTAGCCATGTTTGGCAATCTGTCTGTGGACCTGGCGCTGTCATAGAGTAACGTTAAGTAAGATCTACGTTAAGTTTCGTCTAATGTACTTGATCAGAAAGAAATAGTTGAACAAGAATACATATAATGGGTGATGCAACTACTGTATTTATAGCATTTTAGCGGGATATACAGTAGGC